GCATCAAAATATTTCATAATGCTTATAATGAATTTCATGAACTAGATCCACGTATGTCAAAATTTCTGTTAGAACGGATTTGCAAGTGATTAGGAAAATAAGCATTTGGGTGTAAATGCTGAATCCCAGCTGAGGTAGCACTGGTACACGTGATTTACCTTTGTCTCTTACCTACGGGAATACGAGTTAGAATCTACTGAAGAATTAAATGTTTTCCATTAAATGCTAATTTTTTGAAATAAAACACTTGCCTATTTTCACAGCTATGGTCAAACCATCCGGGCAGCTAACAGCAAGCTGATGACTTGCAAACGGTTTGAGTGATGCTTTAAGCAGATGCACGCATCCTCAACGTACGAAACTGCTAACAAAGTTATGACCATATAAGACGAATCGGTAAATTATAATTAAATATAAATATCGTTAAAAATTCTTGCCATGGAATTAAACATAAATAACAACTTTAGGACGTCGGTTTGAAATAATACAATGGCCATTATTTCGATTATTTGAATGTCAGCCATCAAAAGGTCTAACACTAATCTCTTAACTACTTGAAGACCAGCATTTGGTCAGTAGAAACATTAAAATTTATTATTACAAACAAAATTCATGAGCAGCTATAGAAAATCCCAATTTACATTAAAAGAATATTTATGCAGACGACAGTATTGTCGATAATCTATAAACAACACAGACATTATGTACACATGACTACCAATTTGAGAATCTTGCAGGAATCCAGTTCCAATTCCTCTACTACTACTAACTCACACTGGGTCTGAAACCACAACATAAAAAGGTACCACACAACACAGATAACACACAATATATAACAAAAGAGCACAGAGCATACACTGCGCCTTATTTATTCTGGTTGTCGGTACATCTTTTGCTACTGCATTTGGCCAAAAGAATAAAACAGTGGTCAGTGCTTCCGATCTTTATATCAGCAAAAATATGCACCGACAATAGAATTTTAAAGTAACATAGGAACTTAAAGCTTAAATAACTATTTATAACCATATTTATAAAACAGCCAGCATTTGAGCGATTTTGGTGCCCAATACTTACATAACGCTTCAATATATTAACCCAAAAAACATCTGTAACGGTCCTACGTGATACTTCTAGCTACTCCACTGTTCGAGTTTTCCAGTCAATAAATGACGAAGACGACGACAACAATATCATTATACCATGCAGAAACCTCTTGCACTGTCTAGTACAAACCAAGTGGATTATACTTTTCTTACTTTTCCATTGAATTTGCATTGTGCTGAGCAAGAATCAAATCAAACGCTGTTTCAAATCACAAAGCAAAATTTTCGAAGTGAACTACCGATGTCACAGCATATTACACCGGACGGCAACGTAAACTTCAAACCGAATATCCGCGCAGCGAATCGAAACACTCGTGTCGCCTAATATAGTCTAGTAACGTCAATTTCCTCTGAGATTGATCCTCAGGCATCATTAGTCACATGGATCGAAATTCAGACGAAACAGATGAAAGCTGAAAAACATACATTAATCTTTTAAGGCAAAAACTTGGGAACCTTCAAGAACGAGGTTTCACGCTATCACCTAATACGCATATTCCCTAGCAGGAAACTGTTTCTATATTTTCAGGGGAAAAATGGGAAATATGCAAATGATGAGTCGACAACATTCCATTTCTCCTCTACTCAACCGAAACAAAAACATGAATGACAACGAAAAACTCTGCGTAAAGTACTTATTAACACATTTTCTTAATATTACAAGAAGGAGATCTAAAATTAGTTGATTCCTGCCATCGAAGCAAAATAACTATCCTAACTGCATATTACAACATTGAAAAATAGAAATTATATATGATACTTGTCTCGCTACTTTCCGCAAATGATCTGCAAGCTCTGGACAAATTGATCCTAATCAGATGTAGGAAGTGTGCGCTTGTTGGTTGAGATCATTACCGTTATCCGTTAATATAAGCAAACATTCTCTGGTTTATGGTATAGGCCGCATTTTCTAAAAGCAGTTCTGTCTCTACGTTGTTCATTCATATTGCATATGGACCTCTGGCTGATGTTCCTTCGCTGTGTTCCTCATCTTGAATTCATAGCTCGTGGGCAGGGCAAGTATATGATGTTCTGCCAATTGCCTAGCAAGTCAAATACTTTTTTTGTGTCTTTTGCACATCTACGGAAGTTAGTTGTGCCCGTAAAAAATACAGTCATTCCTTACGTGGTACAACGATTTAACCTTCATTTGTGTTGTAAACCGTATGATACTTTACGCTATTCAACTGTATATTCTTTGTCTTTCTATAGGACAGCCGTATAAACAGGTGCACTGCTAGTTGTATGCCGAAATTCATTTCATATTTCAAGTTTAAGCATTTCTTCCGCTTAAACCTAAACAGGGAAAAGTCTGCAAATCAACTGGGATAGCGAACATAGTTTGACGGATGACAGTCATCAACGACCAGTTTTCACGGCCAATTGCACTATCTCCGTGCCCGTATTTACCTGGGAGGGGCCATTTAAGCGGTGATGGCTCAACGGTATTAGAATATCTACAGTGCAACTCGCATCATTTTTCCGTTAGAGCCACTTCACGATATTGATGAACGATGTTACAGAAGCTGGTACCCTTCATATGCTATCAAATAAACAGCATAAACTGTTCGTGCAACCCCGTATGTCTAATAACGAATGACTCTCCAAGATCAGATTTCAGGGCGCATTGCACTGCCCTTTCCTCCTTGTTGCATTGGGGCCTTTAAGCAGACCACAGTTCCATGGCATGGGAGGTGCAATGCGCCGTTATATTTGGTCTCAGAGCAGCCATTCATATCTTTACGTTTTCGGGCATGCCATTTGTGCGGTAGCATATAGAGTGTATCAGCTCCTGATATATCTTTCGTTATGAAAACGAAGCAGCTTTAGGGTCAAAATTATTACAGATTAAACAGCCTCCTTAGGTGACTGAGATAAATGTGACGGTTCATTACGTTGTAAAATTTGATCCTGGACGAGTCATTCGCTATTTGTAGGACTCGCTCATGCACGCAGCTTGTGATATTTGTGCATGACAAACATCATACCTCTTAGAGAGGTGAGCAAGAATGTTAGAGTTATCACTTTGCTATATCGCATTGTCCTAACCTTTATCGTTCGAACTGACTTAATTTTTAACAGTTTTTTCTCGTTTTCTGAAACTAATCATTGTCTCAGTTTTCTACGTACCTTATCAATGTTTGGTTGTCCTCTGTTCACAAGATAGACACGTTGTTCAAAGTAGTTATTGATGCTTCAGAAATTAATACTTGTTTATATCGTCACGCGCCCCTCCAAGACAGACGTTTTGTAGATACATAGGTAAATTTATTACTTCGCTTAGAGAAGTTTCCTTAACGGGTCACATCAAGACTGGTTATAAGCCATAATTGCTGCCATAGTTGATCAAGTACATACACCATGCCGCACATTCCCAT